TCCAACGGTGTCAAATCACGTGATCTTGGCGGCCAATTGACATCGCCACCACGTGAAATAACACGGCCATTAAATTTGTAGTGAAAAAGAGCCATTATTTCGTTAGCTGGGCGGCAAGTGGCACTGTCCTGTTGAAACTAAATATCACCCACATCCATATCTTCCAATTCAGGCCATAAAAATTTCTTTATCATCTCACGATAGCGAATACCATTCACAGTAACTGCTTGACCAGCCTCATTTTGGGAAAAATACGGCCCGATGATGCCGCCAGCCCATAAACCGCATCAAACAGTCACTCTTTGTGGTTGCATTGGTTTTTCGACAATCACTCTTGGATTATTATTCGCCCAAATGCGGCAATTCTGTTTATTGACGAATCCACTGAGGTGAAAATGTGCCTCATCACTGAAGATGATTTTCTTTGAAAATTTGGACCATCGGATGGAGGTGCGCCGCCGAGGAGGCGGGGGCCATTTGGTCGATATTTTGTTCCACACATAATTGAGCTATACCATATTATCATAATAAACAGAAATGACAATAATTTCCTAAATAATTTGTGTTTTATTCAAAATCAACATCGGCCCTTAAAATTTAACCACCTTTATATGTAAAATAACACGCAATTTTTTCTGGGTTTTACTATTATCTTTAATTTAATTTTTTCAATTATTTTAGCGGTACCCATGTATTTTTAGAAATATTCTAGAAATCGTTTATAATTATATATATAAAAAAAAACATAAGTAAAATAATAAATACACGATATCCTTTTTAATTCTAAAATTTTACAGCTTGTCTTTCAAAAATGTAGAAATAGTGAAAGATATCGATATTATATGAAAATATAATGTTATTCGGTGATTTACTTGCAGTTATTTACTTATATTAAATTAAATACGAGACTTTAATTTACTGGGGCGAACTAAAATTTTCCAGTTATCTTGATATCTATCATAAAAAAATAAAAAAAACTAGTCCAGTCTTCGATGGCGCTATTTTACAATGTACGAATCACGCAACCCACTTACGAATAACGATTCTGCTAAGGTTGAATTATATTCTTTATAATACATTAGATTTTAAATGAGATATTAAGTGTTATTGCTGATTCACAAATATTATCTCTATTCGGTGCTATATTTGTTTTTTTAGTTAACATTGTTTATAATTTAAACATACAATTTATCTAATGACAACTACACTTAAAATACATATAATTAAAAACGACAACCTCAGTAGAACACCATGTAAATTTCGCCGTAGAGTAGAAATACACGCCACATTTATTAAACATGTGAATATTGCTTTGTGGAGCCCTATTCTCTTTGCCTCTCTGCTCCTTAAAAAATATAGATGTAAATTGTAATGATATCACTTCAGTCTCTGAAATTGATTGAATAAAAGTGAAAAAAACCGAAAGAACTTGACTGTTGTTTATGTATATTCTATTTATTATAGCTAGTATTGGTTATTACTACACTACGGTAACTACAGTATTCTAATGAGATTTATATCGTATCTACATTGAAAACAATTAAAGATAATTATTGATTATAAGGATTATTTCTACGATATTATTGGAGTTATTATAGTACTACATTATTACGCCCATTTGCTTCAAGTCTAGGTATTATACAGGGTTCTTTGTAAAACATTATAAAACATTTGATCTACGTATTTATCTATATGATAACAACAACGACGAAAATGATTTTTCAAGTTTTTATTGTACTGTTGTGACACTCATCGATGCATGTGCAGACGACGCTAACACACGCTATGATCGCTCGCTTATGTAATCTTTGAGATGCGCCTAGAGTTGTTTTGAAAAATATATTTTACCTCTGTATTTTAGTCACATAATTTTACATGATGAATTATTATTTACCAAAGTTCTGCAAATTTTCATTTATACCAACAGGAAAAAAAAATACAATAAGAACTATCGCACTAACTTTGTAGTGTGTACCTCCCATATAAAAAATAATATTATAGTAAAATTAATATTGTAAGAATACAAAATGTAATGTAAATAATTATTAAAAGTCATAGACAAAATGTTCAAATTTATGATTTTGGCTATCTAGTCGTCGGAGCTTATTGGTGTTTTACAATTAATCCTATATACTTATTACTGCTAAATGTCGCCTTAAAAAGAATACCAACACTAATTCTAATACCATTACTTAACAATTTAATAATATAAGCAACCATAAGCGTAGTTTAGTTATACATAGAGTATTTTGACTTTTTCATTCGAACTGAAGTCACATTATAATGATTTAAACATCGCTATATGTAACTAGACAACGGTTATAACTTTCTTATTAGTAAAGGTAAAAAAGGTTTTCTTTTAATTCTAAAAACTAAAAAAGTTAAAGATAATTTATATAGACACAGTTACCTTATTTGAATTATAGAACGCTTTTCGAACGAATTGTAAATCTATTTTAACACATGAGTTAAAATAGATTTACAATTAGAGTTTATAAAAAGGGTATACTGTCTACAGTAATGGCATTAATTTATAATAATGTTTTTTTCCCACTCATATTAAAGGTCTTTCTATCCGAGTTAAATCTCGACGCGCTCGGTGGGGAGTCCCGTATTCGCATATGATTGCAGAGCAAAGAAGCTCTTACCAATAAATATAATATTCTTAGAACATATATAATAATCACAATAAACGCACATAAAACGGGTTAAGCTACACTGTAATAATTGCAGTAAGTAAGAGTGTAAATCGACGACTTATGCAATTATAAGTTGACATAGCTAAAAGCTATCATACCGTTTGCCAATAAATCAATTTAGTTAACTGTACATTACAACTTTAAAGTCTTAGATTAATTATGGATTCTAGCAATAATCTAATCGAGTTTGTTTATCCCCAGCATCGCACTTTTGAACTATATCTTATAATTCACAAATATAAGATAACGTCACTTATTAAACTATTATTAAGATCTTAAAAAGTTCTAATCCTTGTGTCATAAAAGTCTGAAATAACGAATGTACACAACACCTAGAACCCAAAACAATTCGAAAAAAATATATACCTATTGATTCGAAACTACAGTGCATCTGCAGTACTATTCTATTATAAAACAGCTTCGAACTTCAAGCAGAGCATATAGCATAGAGATTCAACGAAATAAAACCTACTTCAAAATGTAGTAAAGGTTTCATTTCATTGAGCTCCAAAAATGTATTATCTCGAGCTCCTCCTTGTTTCCAAAGGTACGTTAAGCAGCTGGTACCGACTCAATCAGCTGTTATTGTGGTCACTGCCCATTCTCCCTATTCGATTCGATTTCATCCATAGGGAAGGCCTAAGCCCCAGCAGTGGCGATATTAATAGGCTGCTGATGATCTATACTTTGAGGTCGATACTATATTGTAATAGAATAGTATAACTGAATGATCCTACTAATCTTATCCTACTAATATTATAAATGCGAAAGTTTGTTAACTTTCTTTGGTGTTGTTTGTTGATTTATGATTTATTATACTTTCACGCAAAAAAATAATTGAATGGATTATAATTTTACGTCTAATCATATATACTACTTTTATACCATATATCACCTTGTAAATCATGTGGGCGAAACCGCAAGCGGAAAGCTAGTGTAACTATAAAGCTTAATTATAACATTTATAAGCATCTTACTTCTAAATCTAACTTTAATTAAAAGCAGCATTTATAACTCTAAATGTATAATAATGAAGCTGTCAATATATATTTATTTATATATTCAAATACAAATATTAAATATATGAGTATTTCTAATGAAAACGACAAATTTACAAAAAATATTTAGATAGGAATCATAAAAACTGATAGGTTTTTTCTTACGAATTTGACTAAATACAGACAAAATGTTTCTTATATGAAATCTAAATAAAATAATATTAGTCGAAGGAAGGTACATCGTGATACAATGTGAAATCAAATTCCAGACTTCGATGGGCAATCTCCTTTAATTTATATTATATCTATAAAATATAACACAATGTTACTTAAAATATGCTAAACTAAAAATAAATTCATGATCTTATTAAAATAGAAAACGATACTTAAATAAAATTATAAACAAGAAATCGTAGGAAGTTTGGAATTTGATAATGAAATAGTTCAAATAATATATCAATACTTCTATCACTTTTGAGTAGCTCGATGGTGCAGTATATAAGCACCCAACCCGCGTTCATTGTTGCAAAGGTCTATCACGGGATGGGTGATCAAAAAATTATTATCTCGAGCTACTCCGTGCTTCGGAAGGCACGTTAAGCCGTTGGTCCTGGCTGCATTTGTAGTCGTCCAATACGCATTGGGCCATCCTAGAGGGTTATGGCCAAAACTCCTGAATCATCGATAAGAAAGGCGTGGTGATGACGACTTATTTATAAACGTAATAATTTTTCTTATGTACAAAACACAAATAAATTCAATTTTCAATTATGATACTGAAATACTCGTACAATTGAAAATTCAAACGTGGAACGACTTCATCTCAGCCTACGTTAATTTTGATAATAGAATAATACAGTTTTGCTATTAATTCGTATACATATTTCCCCTAGAAACAATATTAATTTTCTAGAAGCAATATGTACGAGTATATTCAAGTAATTTTACTATACATATGTTAAAAATAAAGCCTTACGCCTAGTTTAAAAACAAAGTTATAAAAAAAATAATCTTCATTAATATTAACACTTTTATTTTAAAAAATATGGATTGCAACATTGCTATTAGCATAACAAAACATTAGTGGAAGTGCTTGGAGATGTATATTCCCTAAGGGAAATACTTCAGAAGCAATAAATGCCTAAAACAATTATGTGTAGTAGAGAGGGCAGCTTTAAAAATTTTAGCAAAATTGAGTTCTTTTCTTTTTATTTAAACGCACATTTTCGATGTTCAAGATCTTAAAGTTGATAAAGATCTACACCGTTGGTTGACTGCTTAGTGACGGACGAGCGGCGTACGTCTACGCCGCCGCCCTTTTCCGCGGATCAGACATGAGTAAAGTTGGCGTGTACAGCATCCTCCTGGGAGATCTGAGTGTTGGCGGTAAAGTACTGAAGAATAGAGAAAAAATATTTTTATTAAATAGCATTTTTAAGAATTTTGAAATTGTTTGTATCTCCTAATGACTAAGAACGAATAGAGATGGAGTACGTTTCTTGTAGGCAATATCTCCTAATTTTGCTTAGATTTTCGATTTCGGATACTCAACGGTAGTGTTTCTTTTACTTTTGTTTGCTACAGAAATTGACAAATCCGAGAAACACTTTGTCTACATGAAACGCCACTTTTCTCGGGTCGAGAGTGACATATCGTAAGAGCGCACCCGAGAAAAGTGACATATTAATATAGGCAAAAGTTCTCGAGTTCGTCATGCTACATACAGACTTCGATTTGATCAAACTACATGTAATAATATTTTAGACAATTCGCAATGTTGCGTCGTAAGATAGGCGACCAAATATTTATTAGCCTTTGGCGACAGATGCTTTAAAAATTGTTAACACCTACTAATGCGGATGCGGCTAGACCTGTGATTCTGATCTTTTTTCATTTTTGAATCCAGTCATAGGGAAATTTTCTCAGCAGTTATAACCTTGAGCGGATGATCATAATGGTGATGGTGATGTCGTTGTTGTTGTTGATGATGTTGATCATGTTGATGTAGTAGTTGTTGTTGATGATGTTTGTGATGATAATGTTGAAGGTGGTGGTGGTGGTGATGATGAAAAATGTCAAAATATTTAAATATATCATTCACTCCTTCTATACACCTTATGAAAAAACATGCCTGCTTAGTATATCAAAATAATATGTAATATATGGGGCAGACGAAACATATTTATTTTGGATCAATACAATGGTACACTAATACTTACAGCACTACAGATCGTTATTGTAGCATTTTCGATATTTTAAATTGTATTCGGACGTAAAGTACAATAGGTTTTAACTATTACCGACACAATTCATTGAAAATATTTATATTTGGTAAAATTATAAAGTGTTGATTTCAACTACAAAAAAGTTCAATAGCTTATGTCGATCAATATGACTACAAACTTATTAATAGATAAATAATGTAAGACTTAAAACATTTTTTATGACAGCCACAAATCGGAATAGATGCAGTTATTTTAATGATTTTCAAAGTAATATGTACTGGAGCAGAGATTTCAAAGTCTTATGTAATTTTGTTAACCGTAATTTCAATATTTTGTGTTAGAGTTCAAAAAACATTCTCCCGAATTGATATACTAAAAATGTTTATCTGAATTGAAGGAATTGAGACATATTTTTACTACGATATAAATGTCCTCAGTATAAAAAATAACTCTACCTGTTCCGACACCTGATAATAATAATCACATTACGACAATATGAGGATAGTTTCTGGATACAATGATAGCACGGTAAAGGGTCAAACCGAACTTACGACTATTTCTATTATGTCTTCCGTTGAAAATGTCCCAGTACGTTTCTCCCGAGAAGAAAGTCATTAGACTGAAGAAAATAAAACTCTTTATTTCATCTCTATTCCAAATTCAAAATATCATAAATCGACGACATCGGGGAATCATGGCCAGTTTCAAATCGTGAATCGCAAAATTATGATATGCGCTGTGTGTTATGTTGAATCAAATCCAATTATTTTATGATCACACAACGTTTTAAAAGTGTTTTTCGGCCATTCATCGTCATTTCTGTAAAAAACACTTTTCGGGGAAATTTTATTAACTATTTTAACTACTTCGTTATAATTTAAACCATTGTCTCATTCAAAACGAGTAACAATGCAGTAACATAAAAAATATAACTATAAACAGTTTTTCGAATTAAAAATTTAATTGTTCTGTAATTCTTTGTAACTTTCAAAATACCGTGCAGTTGCAATTAGTGTATTCTAAATAAATGGTGAAATGTGTAATCTATTCCAGAAAGAGAAATACTTAAGTAAAGTAAATAGGTAAATTAACCCGATTTACGCTTTAATAAGTATAGTAGCGAATTAGCGACATCAGCGAGTTAAGTTTACATTAAAGGCCTTACTAATAAGCAATGAGTACACATTGTATAGTTAAAAAGTGTTTTGTCTTTTTCACTTGAACTAAAAGTCAAGTGTAACTAAACAACGATTTTCTTATTAGTAAAGTCATAAGAGCGTCAAATCTTAATTGATGTGTAAATTAAAACTTACCCCAGCGAAAGCAGCGCCATTCCATCCCAGACGGTCATGATCGCGCTGGGGGGTACGCTGTATCGGCGTCTTTCTATCGGTGCGTGACGCCATCCGTGCTTTAGCCCTCAGAGCTGCCCGTAACGGGACGTTAGCTCTCGCCGCCTCCGCCCGACCATGTTGACAGAACTCAAGTAGAGCAACCGCGAGGGCTAACGCTAAGCCCCCCACTAATACGTAAAATATGCCAGCCACTTGACTCAATGTGATCTCTGTTATAGATGTTTCCTGAAAGCGTTGGAGTGATATTTTTAAAGTTTGTTCCTAGGGCAAGCAGAAAACAGACAATGACCTAAAGTATTATTTGAGCGTTGGACGGAACTCTATAGGTCACTGACCCTACCATGTTCAACAAATAAACAGTGGGCTGATTTTCTAGTTTCAAAATCTATCACAATTCCTTTCAAGGATGTAGCGATTGTGTGCGATATTTGTGTCTAACGCTTGCCTCAAACAATTGCAATTAATGTTAAATAAACAATATCGTTCATTCAATACATGTCAAATAGTTGTAGCGTGAAGTTCGTTCATATCTTTCAAATGTCGAATCGAAAGGGATTGTGATAAAATTAAGAATAATACCATTATCTCATATTCCGTTTAAATTGTAAACAATGCTATGGAACCCGATACGTACGTATACTTTCAACGCTCACATTATACTTCGGAACATTATCCAATTTTTCGATTTCCCAAATGATATTTTCGTCTGTGTTATAGATTTGAAGTTTAATATTATTAGTGCAATCTATTCCTCACAGATTAATTATGACAATATTGTTTGATCTAGTAACAGCAACTGTGTCGTAAAGCGTTGTAGTTATAGCGCTATTGGCATTCTATAATTACGCTAATATTAGCAAATTGCCCTACGGTGTGAGATCGCTTCATTGATCATTACGGTGTGTGTTAACTTCGTTACGGGATAAATGAATGAATTAATGAAATATGCTTTATTATACACCAATATAGGACAAAACAAAGGGATACAATCAAATTAAATGCACAATTGGGGGCGTTATCACTAAAAAATAATTTCTTCCAGTCATCCTTTGCGTACAGGAAAAACTATATCTAAATTTGGGTAGCTAACGATGTCTTAAAAACTTTAGTAAAGTAAAAATATACATATGCATCTAGCTGCTTAAAGAGCAACAATTAACTCAGGTTGAAAGAAAAATATAATACTTTTGTTCAGACCGTACATAGAAATCTTACATTTTTAAGTGATTTGAAATTGAGATGAGCTAACAACACTGCTGGGATGAGTAAGGAAAAAATAATGCATAGGATGTAACGTCATAGGATGAATACGGAACAACCCAATTTAAATAATTAATACCACATAAACAATAAATCATACATACATATACATAGAGTATAATAAAGCATATGCCTACACAAATGTAGGAGGTTAAGGATTCAAGGTGAGTGATAGATAGTACTCTTTAACCAGTCCTTTAAAAATGTGTATGCTTTGTGCGCGTCTGATATGGCAATGCATTCCAGAGACAGGCCGCTTGGACTGTAAAAATGATTTATTCATGAATTTACTTGCATGCATTGGTATTGACAACTTCTAGTTCTCCAATGAACTCAAAACTCTTTAGGAAAAGGAATTTAAAACGTTCCGGAAGGTAGACCGGTAAATAAGGATTGAAAACAATACTGTAAAGAAGGTAAAGGGAAAGTTAAAACATTACATGATGTGTGGTGTAATAAAATATTAATTAAGTGATGTTACTTTGGCAACAACTGTATCAACTAATACGAATACCTAACATGAAACTAGATATTAATAAAAATTAGATAGAATATTTCTTTGATCTCACACAAAAGCCAATTTTATTACTTATGCCCTTGTTTCTATCTTAATATATTATATGAGGCATCTATACTTTCATTATATTTTTACTAATCTCTAAGCTATAATACAGTAATATTCGCTTTCTGAAAACTTCATGAAAATTAGAATCGATAATTTTCCTAAGAGGATTCCAGTAAGTTCTACTCAGAGCTTCAGGGACTACACTTAATATTATTCGTAACATTACCGTTATCCGTTTAGTTTGATTTTTAGACATGACTCTATAAGTCCCGGGCCTACTTGCTAATAGACCAGTTTTATATCAGATTGCTTAGAATCATTGTTGAACTATCTACAAATTGAAAATCTTCTACGACTAAACTGAGGCGCAAAAGTTTCGGGTCACTTAGAAAAACTTTCTTAACGTCCAAAATATCGAACCAAGGCCATTAAAATAAATTGTTGGTAATAAGAAATTTATAGTGCAGTAGTTTGAACTCTTTTTTATTATTTAAGTTTTATATACCTCTCATATTTTGGGAGCATTCGAGGCGTTTGTCCCCAAACTTTTGCTGGTTAGTTTAGAAATATATTTTTATTAATTTACAGATCAAGTAAAACGTGGATGTTGGAGTTACTGAACAAATTTACACAATAATTTGATACAAAATGATCAGCTCTCTAAAGAAGCAATAGTATGATTATTACATTTAATGTATAATCGGAAACTCACAATAGTTATAAAAGAAAAAAAAAACGAGTAACGAACACAACATTTAAATTACTGTTTTAATTTCTGTGTTAAAGGTAACTAAAAGGAATACTGATAATACAACATTAAAACTTACTTCATCTTTCACTAAGTCGCATTCCGGTTGTTTTGTATTCAATAGCCATTTGCGCCACAGTTTCGTTACGATACCGTCATTCTTCAAATTTACTATTGCCAAATTTATTCCTTCCCTAGAAAATAAAAATAGTAAATTCGCAATTAGTGTAAAGAACGACATATATATCTGACGGAAGGCACGTAACCACGCATCGGTCATTGTTAAAACAGACAAATATATAATTTGAAATAAAATCTTGCACTCTGAAGCAGGAATTGAAAACCTTAAGACGGAAGAACTAAAATCTACAATTTAAAAAATTTCACCGTTTTTAATGACCCAGAAATTCATTCTAACATTATTTAAATTTTTATTCGAGATTTTATTTAATATACATACTAGAAACAGATATTCAAAGATGTTTGATTGACTATGGTCTTGGTTTATGTTGTTTTTGGAACTAGAAAGCCGCAACATTACGACGAAATAGCCGCAGGTTGCCGACTTCTGCTCTAGATTAGTGTTTTTCAATCTGTAGGTTGAAACCCCTAGGGGAATCGTCTAGTCTTACTCGGGAGATTGCCGGCTAATGAAAAAAGTCAAGGTTCTACAAGTTTCACTACAGCAAACTACTTTTTTGAGAGAAGAATGGATTTGGTTATTTTTCAATAAAATGTCAAATACATAAATAAGTTACTAATGTATCATTTTAATTAAAGATTTTGTCAGCCTGGAAAGGGTGCATTATTGAAACAGTTTGTAAAACACTGCTCTAAATTGATGATCCGTCCCGTTACTTTCGTGAGAACCTAAATATACCTAGACCTAAAATATTTATCCGATAAGAATACGACAAATAAATAGTCTGTTATACATACTGTTTTGAACTATTATACAATCATTGTTATGGAATAGAAAGTTTTGTAGTGTTATAGGTGATTTTAATTGGCAGTGATTCATACAAGTAAGTTAATACAGCTTTCCAATTATTACCCGACTGCGTGACGTAATGGAGAGTTATCTTTTGTAAGCCCTTGTGCTAAAACCTTATATATACACCCAAAACATAGAATTTTATTTGTATAATATTCAAGTTATCCTTTGACTTAAGAGAAAATAATAATAAAATGATAATTATAACGCTGTATACGCTGTAATTAGCCATAGTCTAATTGACGACTATGCTTTATTTCACGATTAAAAATCTGTTCCGATTTCTATATTATCACTGACAAACAAAGAAATCATAAAAATAATATTTGAAAATCTTTCATATTATTAATTCATTTCTGGGGAGTCGCAATGGCGTCCAATAAACTCTTTTACATTGCGGTCATAAACTCGGCACCGTATAAAATGTAAATTTTTAACGTGCTGTCAAAAATCACGTTCACCATGTATACATAGGTACGTACCATAAAAATGGGGTGGTATAAATTCGAAATGCAAAGAGCGCCAACTTCCCTACCGACGGGGCCCATGTAAATTTACGAGTTTTCAGTATTCAACGGGGAATTACCGCGCGCAGGCGAGATTTCAGCTAGATAGTGGGAGCTCTATAGTGGAAATTTACGTTGGATTCGGTGTTCATCCTTCGATATACGACTACGTAGGTACTGCGAGCTGGTTCCTTTATTTTCACTGTAGCGGACATAGTGGGTCTAGAAATGGCCATTTACTGACCGTCCAGTTTTTCCATTGTATACTCTAGGGTTGCGACAGTTCCTAAAAGGTTTCCATGCAATCGCTTAGAATGGCCTATTTTCTAAATGGTTTCACATCACTTTACTGTTCGAGTGTATCACTTTATATCCTTTCAAAGATTCATAAAGACATTTTAAAACTTGCTATTTTCCCGCGATTTCGCCCGCGTATATATATAATAGAGTATGTGAACTACGTATGATGTGGGCGAAAGAATGTTTATGATATTCCCGAAGATTATCTTCTATAGACAAGAAAGTTAAAAACTTTATTTATTGAATATAGAAAGACTTCCCGAAAAAAAACAATGGTAAAAAAACTTTACTAAAATATATAAAAATGTTATAATCATCCTTCTATTTTATTTTCAAATACTACATATATTTGTTTTGGTTTTGTTCACAAACGATCGAGTGTCAGTAATTTATTTGATGCTCTCTCTTTACTTGGTTTAATACTAAAACTGTTTATATTCAGTAGAAAGCGTAATACTACAATTCAATTTCACGTAAAAATTAACTGATTGGAAAATGTGCTATTGTCTGAGCAATATTATCCGGTCGTTGTAAGCTGTCCAGTGAAATAAAATACTGACCACCTTAATATTCTACCTGAGCTGTATTTTCCATCGTTGTTAGGACCGATATAATAAAAAAATATTCCAAATGCGATTCGCATTTGATTCCCGAATCAGTTAAAAATATTAACATGAAAAATTAACTATAACATAAAGATATCATTTCTAATTTCTAACTATAGGCTTTTTATCATTTAGATATTCCTTAACGGTATAATATCCTTTACTTTGTAGACAATTTTTAATATGAATTTTAAAATGATTTATTGGCAAATCTAATACATTACTGGGGATCTTGTTAAAGTATTGTGTACCTTGCCCCATGAAAGAACCTTATACCTTCTGTAACCTGTAAGAAGGCATTACTAGCTTGCTTGTGTACATCACTATGTTTGGTATACACATTAACTATATATAAATTCAGATGCAACCGTCGATATTCCAATTTCTTTAAATTTCTCTCTAAGAGATATTCGCGAGCCCAAGTGATAGATAGCTCTTATTGCCCTTTTTGTAAAACAAATATAGACTGTATATCGGCTGCCGTTCCCCACAATATAATGCCATAGGACATGATACTGTGAAAATAGCTAAAGTACATTGTCCGGGCAGTTTCTAGACAACCATCATTCTATTTCGGATATAATTTTACATATGTATAACACAAATTCAACAGAACAATTGGTCATCTGTTTAATCTACGACATAGCGCCAAGTGTGATTAATATAATTATTAATCTATGGTAATTTTTCATACCGATCTCCTCAATTATCTGTCGGCAGTATTGTTGTTGGTTAGCAAACGGCGTCTAGTTCTACACATCTTAAGTATCATAGCAGTGCAACATTGTAAAAAGATTCAACGCCATGAACAGGAGATTTGTGTTTCCATGCGATATTCTCGTCTCGTACGCAAGATAGCCTTTAAGGAGACATTTTAAGAGCCCCATATTCATAGTAAGAAAATAGGGCATTGCTAACAATTTTTACATAAAAAGAAATATATTTGAGATACTAACAATAAGCATATTTATTAGACTTTGCACGTAATATAATTTGCATAGATACGTAAGCCACTAGATTATAAGGCCCAGGGCCTAAAATGCAGCCGAGACTTAGCGGAAAGCTAATAGAGGAAAGCTCGAGATAATAAGTCAATCGTATTTATTATATACTCTTTCGAATGTTAGGTGCTGGTAGTTGAAACTAAGTAATATTCATAATGTTAAACCAATTTCCCTCGCCCCCTTTAATCTGGCCCTCTATAAGATTTTTCGATAGGTATTTGACCCCTACTAATATACTTGCCGACCCTGCCATACAGTAACCAATTTTTATCGTCTACGCCGTTGGCCTAGATTAGTACGAAACAATGGAGTACGGAAAGTATTAATAAGGTGATAATTGAAAAGAAGTGAATAATAAAAATGAAAAACTCACCTCAAAGGCGATCCTTTGGCAGTGGCAATAGCGAAATTTATGTGTTTATAGTGGCAAATGCGCGAAACTGAATCGCACGCAAATCGATCTTTACTATTGGCACCGAAGTCGGATGCGATCTCATCATCGCCCATAATCATCGATTCTTTTACTAAGTGGCTCCAAGAAAACGGCGTGCTCTGTAAAGTGAGTAATGAAATTTGGTACCTATCTCCACACTTATAATAATTTATAAGAAAACGAAAGTTTCCTTTTGTTCCATTTAAATATTTTAGCGGTAAATGAAATTATTTTTGGATTATTTTAGTTTAAACTTGCTGATACCTATAAGGTACACCAAACCAAAAACACCACAGTTTTAATAATATATATTATGTAATAAAAAAAACATATTACTATGTATTTTAAATTTATTCAAAAAATGATGAGGTGATTTTATCAATTTTCATAAAAAAAAATTATCTAAAAATTCATTATTTCCCTTTTTTTTAATAAAATAACTGTGGTACATAATGTAGTCCTATCATATTTATAGTTTTTTATATTCCATACAAAGTTAAGTGTTCAAAGTATTCATAATGAAGTTATCTGATCAGACTATATTTTGAACTGTTCATTGCATTGAGATGCGTGATTTCGGAAAATATTTCACCCTTTTAATTAACAAAATGCACATGTGCAAATACATCATTTAACCACATAAACTAAGTATCACAAACAAAACTAACTTTAGGTAAAACACAGACCAAAGTCACAAACAAATTATTAATATTAGAATAGGATTACAATAGATACATGCTTAAAAAAAATTGTAAGAAACTATAAAACGTGAAGAAGTTATAATAAAAATCATTTTCATTTGCTCAAAAAAATCAAACAAAGAAAGGACTGTTGGATGGGTAAATTATTATGTACAATATTGATCAAAAGATTTTTATAGCGGGGATTTTTATTTTCACACAATTCGATAAACTTCACTCGCTGTTGCGTATAAAGCATCTCATAAACGATCTATTGTTACCTGGACGTTGTAAAAGGGACATTGTCTCTTACTTCATATTGTGCACCGTTTGGTGGATAGTTGATCGTCTGAGCTGGCTCCGATATTCTCTCCACGATCAAATAAGCGGCCAAATTAGCCGTATACGAACACACGAGAATGAGCGCGAAAAACCACCACACCGTTCCCACTATTCTTCCTGATAGTGACCTGTATGAAGAAATAATAAAAAAATATATAAAACAAGAAGAAAATGCTATAAAAATATCGAAATAAGTATTTTCAACTAAGGGCTGAGGTCGTGTAAGCCTGCACGCGTACCATGACAAACTCGAGAAACGCTTTGTCTACACTCATTTGTCAGTTTCTCGGGTCGTGAGTGAGATATCGTATAGGCGTACCCGGGACAAGTGACATTTGAGTGTAGACAAAACGTTGTCGAGTTCGTCATGCTACGCAAGCTGATCTATTTAGGATGCTTCCAATGCTCGACTACTGAGTTATGAATAAATAATATTATGATATTAAGATGGCGGATCAAACAAAAATTTGATAGTCCTAACGAAATTAACAAGTGCAGTATAACCAAATCTTAAATTAATCGTTTATCATTTTGCACTTACGTACTGGCTGTTGGTTTGCTACTGGCTGGTTGGTATTAGTACACGCAATATTTGTGTAATTTTTAGTTAGAATCTTACTGTGATATATTTTAGTCTATATTTAAGAGTATTAGCACAGAATAATACAGTAGCAATACTTCACCGAATTCTGGAAATAAATACATACGCGCATTGGAGCGTTAGGGTTGCCTTCTTAATAAAACTAGTTAAAAAATATATTATATTATTTTTAAAAAAATTATATTTATATTACCTTGACATATATTTCACACTGAAAAGTATTTTCATCTATTACAACAAGTTTTGACCGCTTTATTATTAAATTTTATGGTATAAAAAATCCTCATTCTTAAAAATAGTTTTTTATTTAATAAACTACCAGGAAACAATGGCAAGGGGTGTTGAAAGGGATCTCATCTATTTCTTTTTTATTAATTCCGCTATTTTATAGTTAATGTTTTCTTTACTAAAACAACTGCGAAAACTGTCGTCCATCTTCTCGACGTATCTTACAGACTAATTCTGTAGTACAATTAATAATTTTTATTTGGCATAGTTTTGGTTTCCCGATATTTTATATATCGCCTTTCTGAAGTTTGTGGATATGCTCAGAGGGCATTGTATATTTCTTCACATTTTCACAATCAATATGACGTTCGGCACATTTCTTCAAGAGATAACCAAAATATAGACAAGTGATATTTTTTTCGGTTATATTATGTTAATGTTAAATATATAATTTTTTTTTTAATCAATTATAAATATATAGCTATAATATAATTATAATGTATGTAAATATATATTGGCCAACTGCCATAAAAAATTAACATTCTAACTTCTAACACATCTTTAATCGATATTGATTATAACTATAAAAATATTCTTTCAATATCACTAGTTAATTTAAAAAACGAATGGCGCGGGTTTGCATACATCAAATTTAAACATCCGTATACCACACAATATTTGCGTGTCGTTTTTATTGAGATCGCTCACTTTCCGAACGTCTTGCTGTGACAAACGCAACTGAGCTCACCTCGAGACCCCCTGAGAATAAATATAATTGTGTCTGTCTCTGTGCGCACACGTTTTTAACCGTTTGTTCTTGGTTTTGCTACTGTATTATTCTGTAGTATTAGTACTCCTCCACGACGCTCCTACATCCCCGACAATCGGCGTCGCCATGGTACCGATTAACACCCACGGCTAGCCGGGCCGGTTGTCCGCCTTCTTCAGGCGAACCCTGCTCTGGGAGACCACCCAATTCCCCCATGGGTGATTTTTTACAGAGGTTGTCTTCCTCTCGGCTCCTGTTCTAACGAACAGCAGCCCTCGACTCCACACCATGTGTGGAGTTACGAGTTGCCTCGCTGGCACGGCCGCTTCCCACGATACGCAGGGCGCCCGTCCAGCCCGGACCGCGCCGCCGCTACCCGACATAAGGTCAGGACCCCGACGCGGAACCCATCCTAGTATTAGTACTCCTGCTTTATCAGCACTAGTTTGCTCTCTTCTTTGAAAACTAATTTTCCCGATTCTATTTATAAAAATGGTAGTACTGAATTATTATTTTTAAATATCCGGAGTATTGATTTTATCGTTTTTAAATAAATATAAATATTACTGTTACTGTTTTAATATTTTTATCGATAGTCGATAATCTTACTTAGATATAATTCAAGACTATGTGATATGTTTTTATATAAGTGTGAAGAAAGCTTCTTGTTCTTTTTCGATATTTATAAAATTGTATTTCTAAAAAAAAAACATCAGCATAATCAAATAGAGTATCAACACTGTAATAACTTCAGTGTTGAACGAGAAAACTTTATACATATGAAGCGTCAAGGGTATCGTTAACACGGCATTCATTATTATTTACTATATAGCTAGCTCTCCTAAGATAGGGAAAAGACAACAGCACTATAAGCATAAGAGATTACAACACCATTATACGACACACTGACTCGTACCCAAATTCAGTCAAGAAATCAGCCTGGGATTACTAATGATGATTTATTGTGGAAACGTACAGAACAAATATAAATTTTCCATCGACGCTCTCAGCTGCCGGGCTAAATTTGATGAACATTGTTTTTTACTTTACTTGTAAAGCATCTAAAATATTGATACTAACTCATAAACTCTGTCTGTTCCGTTATTAATAAATCCCAAATAAAAATAACTCTTTCATTATGCTTTAACCTAGCAATGATATGAGAAACATATATGGGGAATTACGTTACCCTGTTTCATGATTTCCATAAGTAAACTTTTGTGTGGATAGCGATAATTTAAAAAATAACATATCTGTCCAGTTCTTGTCAAACGATACATCCAATTTCGTACGTGCGTAGAAAAAACATACATATTTTCATTTTTGTTTCAGACACGAAATCCAAGGGAAGTAAATTGTCCAATTAAGTGCTATTCATATTGAACTGATTGATATATGTACATATAAAATATACATACACGCACATTTGATTTAAACACAAAACGTGGTAAAATGGTTATATTTAAAAATACCTATATACGTATTCCCTTTCTTTTACTAAAATAAGGTTATGTCTTTGCCATTGTTTCTCGTGGGGAAGAGAATGTAACGTAATTTTATTACGAACGACGTCTCGCATCGGTAGACATAACAAGGTGATTAGCGCGTCTTTCCTTTATTCCGTCGTTATATTTGCTTATACTTTTATACTCAAAGAATATATAATTTAATAAAATACGCATTTAACAAATAATCACCAGCAATGAAACTTTAGATTAAGCTTAAAAACTGTTATAGGAATTCAAGTAAGTATACGAGGTTAAAAGCGCGCACTATATTCAACCCTACACAAATTTTTTCTCAGTTGCTAGTGAGCCGTGTTCGTTTGCTATTCGTTTATGCGCGAGCGCTGTTTGATGACTGTGCCATTGTGATACGTATTTTAAGCATAAAAACTCTTTTTAGAATTCAATTGCACATACCTCGGCACGACATCGCTGCCTTGTTGCATAAATGATCCCAGTGAAAACCAAAATGAGTTCCATATGCTGAAATCATTGTGTAGTATAATCTAAAACAAAATAAGCTTATTAAACACAATTAAATCTATGCTTTACGATTACGGTTCAAAATTATACACAAAAATCTTAAAGAGTTTGTTGGTGCAATCATTTAATCAATTTAACGTATTCTTTCGTAACGCATCAACGCAATACACCTATCTTTAAACCAAAGGAGCACTGTACTAAAATTATTCCTTGTCTATGTAACAGCGATCGAAAATGACGTCGGTAAGTGACGTATGTTTTTATATTTAATTTTTTCTTCTAAAATGGCTATAATAACTACATTGTTACGAGACAATAACAACAAGAAAAAGAAAATACAGCAGAACCCATTGAAATATGATGTGAATTTCTCACATTTAATTACAGTATTTTTTATGTAGTTAGAAGTTATTTGTAAAAGCGCGTTCACCAAAAATGATGTCCTTTATCACTCTCATTGATACCAGGACCCTGTTTTTCGAAATATAATTCTCTTGTTGAAAATAATTCTGACCATGAATTTTCAATGAAATGATGATTCTACTTTTATTTTGTATGCATATAAATTTATGCCTAAAGGTAATTCTGGCTTTCAATATTATAAATTTTCAATGTTATGCTATATGAGTGTATGCCAAACGACTTTCTGCGGAATGAAGTTTATGTTATTCCCTATTCAACAGAATAACATAAAATTTCTGCCATAAACCTGTTTGTTTGTTCGGAACCTGTTCCAGGAAACCACTGAGTACAACATATAAAAAGACGAAATATCAATGTAACCATGACCACCAGCGTGAAAATCAAAACTTATGTAAAAACTATGTTTTCCCGAGACAGTGTCCAAATATGGTCTAACATATATTACCTCGTTTGTACTGCTAATAGGACGATCTAGTTGTGTATCAGAAATCGTTACAGATCTCCATTCGTGTGGTGAGAATCTGGACACCAGAAACAGGACTATGCTGACAGCAAAGAAACTGAATAGCACACACAACTGTAATAAATATATTCAGTTAATGACTATTCTATCATTGACTATTTGTTCCATACGTATACTAAATCAGCCTATTCACTTTATTGCGTTACAAAATACTCTCTGTTTTTGTTTTTAAGTTACTAAATTACTCGTCACTCGACTAAATTACTAATATAGCTTAAATCACTTACAAACAGTTGCACAATCGTCCATTAAAATTGTCGTTAGTTTAATGAGACATACCGATACAAATTTCCAAATTCAGAACATGCAGTAAATCTTAAAGTCGTCCTAAAACCTTAATGGAAGTTTGTGCAACTGACTGATTGTCCAACTTGTCTCTTCCAGCTAACATGTACCTATTTCAAGGCTTCATTAAAATTCCATGTCCGATTTTTGAGCTCTCTGATAAAAATGTTCCATCTGAATATTTATGAACCAATCAAATGAAAATATCATATCGCAAATAAACAAGATTAAAGGTGACAGTACATTTCAAATTGGGGGCATAAGAAGACATCAGATGGATCGGGAATTGCGAAAACATCTTAAAATTATACTTTCGCAAAATATACTTTCGAAGACATTAATTCTCGAAGACAATTTATGACAGTAACAATACACTGGGAAGTAAATATTATAAAAAAAAATTTCTTCTTTGATCTTATCTAAGACTAACGTAAATTTGATTGAATAGTTACAAACAAGAGTATTTTAAAATTTCCAAAATTATTGTTATATTCATTATGAACATTATTAAATTATCTCTATGAATATATTTTATGAAAGAACTGCAGAGCATCATATGCACTGAACACTAGGTAGACGCGAAAGTAGTACTAAATTATTGGATTAACTGGGATTTACGATAAATTGTATTTGATGAAAATAAGCAATTTAAATAATAGGAAACAATTTACAATTCACTTTTACTTGAACTAGCAAAAGTGGGTTTTGTTTAAATACGTAATTATGAAATACCAAATCTCAAATAATAGTAATACATATGTATATTGACAGAACTACTTTTGCTTTTTTTTTTCAAACTAAAAGGTAAAACTGTATCGATTATATTCGTCTTCGTTAAAAAAAGTAATAAAATTCTACATTTGACATTATTTTGGTAATGTCGGGATGAACTATTCAAAGGTGCAAAACAATGACAGTCTACTAAACAATCGAGTACTACTTGAGTCACAGTCCGAGTACTTAATAATTCACCTTCATTTCTAGCCAGTTTAAAAATACTTACCCATATTTCTTTTGATAGTGGTTTTAAGAAGCTGAATGTATCAGAGAACTGTTTCGGTACTCTCTTGTATGGCACTGGAGCATCAATAGATAGAAATGGTTCACTAAAGTCTACAACTCTTTCACGCTCTGCAGTAATACCTAGAGGTGCTACTGCAATGTGCGCCTCCTAAAATATAGAGAGACACAATATACACATCAGCAAAGTGGGTTGCCACAAAATGTCAAAGCCCCGTTGTTAATTTTGAACATAAATCATATTAATTTTTTTTATAATAATAATGAGGATAAAGAGCAAACCTTCATATATATTAGATTTGCAGTGAAAATTCCTAAGAAAAGTTAAAGTAAACGAGTGCCCGGCGTCCGAAGGCGGGTGAACTATAATAACACGTTTCAAACTCAATAAACAAGGACCTTCCCCTCGAAAATTGAACCGACGATGAGCTATTGAGTATTAGGATGAGGCCTCGCACGAAAACATGTATCGAAGTTCAAATTTACACTTTGAATGGTTTTATCATAATATATTTCTTTCTCGTTGGCACGGGCACCTACTTGGAATATAAAGAAGTATTAGATATTATATATCACCATGAGATATTCGTTTTTGAATAATGTAATGGAAGTAGGTGATTTTTTTGTGGTAAAGTTTTAGGTTTTCGTGTACATTATGAATAGTGTAAGAATCTTTGGTTATAAGTCTCAAAGTTTAGACTTATTTATGTATTTCTTTTCGTCTACGACAGTCCGTTTTTTAATATTTGTCTCTGGTCAATATAGTATATAAAAATACAATTTGATTACAAACATTGGAATATATGTTACCCTGCTGTGGCCACTGCAAGTTAACTTCGCATAAGAAAAACCAAGATTGATCAGCTCATGAATAGCAAGTAGTTTTTAATAGACTTCAAAATTGAAAATGGGGTGATCTATTTTCGTCGGGGATGTATTTTTGATATTCACTGGTTTCTCCGTGAATAGGGATGGCGACTAATTTATGTTTGTTTGTCCTTCAGGTAGATTGTTGAAAAATACATTGAGTTAAAATGTCACATGCCGTCAGGCATTGGTTCATTTTGTACAAAACTGTGACGTAACGAACCCTCACATTTCTCAAATTTAATGCCTGTTATCTAAACTATTTCTTGTTAAATTGAAGTAAAAAAAATTGGTATCTTATATTTTTGTATTATCTGACTGACGGACGGAATATTTTTTTTGTTACTCAGTCGTTATCAATATTGTAGGAAGATTTTCCAAATCCTTTGAAGCGTTCTGTAGCCAAAGGGTAAGAACAGGACCCTATTACTGCGACTTCGCCGTTCATCGGACTGTCTGTTTGTCTGTCACCAGGCTGTCTTGAGAGACAACCAACCAAAACCAATTTTGTACAAAATGATACTGTATATCATAGACAGTTGACATTTTAACAGATAATGTAGTGCTGTTGCCGAGTAGTAAAAACTGAATTAAATGAATATTAAAGCGTTCCCCATAGAAGTAACATGATTGTTTTTTTATTTGACAAATCATAGGCCTGAGGTGTTCGTGAAATTTATTGGAAGTGGATTGTCGATTTCGCTTTTATTAGAAAATAAAAAGAATTTGCCAAACAACAAAAATACGTAAATAACATATTTATAGCATCGAAAAAAAAAGGTCACGAATGTGGTTTTCTTCAGGGATTACTGACACAAAAAAAATATAAGAAGTATTTTCTTTTTATAGACTCTTATCCACAAAAATCACATTAAAAAATTATATTTTTTTATTATTACGTGTAAAATAATGAAATTGTTGATCATTTTTTGAACTTTCTCAAATGAAAAAAAAAAATGTGTAATTCATAATTGTTTAACAGTAAATAGAAAAAAAAATACGTAGCATATAAATGTACTTTGAATTTACTTATACTAACCATTTTAGTTCACTGACCGGTGAAATTGCGTTGGTAAACTAATTCCATTTAACTTTATCCAAGAAATATTCTTTTTACCTTTGTTTACGGAACCAAGAATTATTCCTAAACTCAATTTCATAAATAATATTGTAAAAGGAAAATAATTATGTAAACAAAATCATTTTCTGAAACTTATTTATTGGATTATAACGTAAAACAATTCAATTAAAAGTGAAAAGTAAGTGAAAAAGTTTTTAAAAGAATTTTCAGAATCCTTCTTCAGTTTGTATTATTATAATAATTATAATTAATATGTATAATAATGATTATATAAATATAGTTAATATGTTTTTTCCTATCACATTTACCTGTAAATATTTTAATAAACAAAGAAGTATTGCATCTATGTAGACATTCAAAAGAATTTAATATGATTAGAGCACTATGGCAACTTCACTAAGAACAAAAGCAACCTTACACCTCTGGTATCCGTTTCAACCAAACTTTATTTAAATAAAGGAAACTATAAAAAGCAATAATCTTATATAATGTCACATACCATACTTTAGCTGCTGGTGTTATATTAAAACTCATATGCAAATTTATTATTATATATTTGCCGCACCTTGTGCGCGTAATACGGGATGAAGTAGCGTAGAAGATTATTAAACACGTTATTAAAAAAATCTAACAACTTCATGTCACTTCTGCAAGCCTAGTACTTTTTTAATTTCTTTTTAATTAAGGTTTGTATCTTTTAGACACATGAAAACTTCTACTTTCATGTGTTTAAAAGTAAATAAAAAGATAAGTGAACTCATTAATTGGAATAAACAAACCGGAAGAAGTAAACGTCCTTAAACCATACGAAAACACATACCTTAATATTTGCATTTGTTCCGTTATTCAGGTCAGTAGTGATAATCCCTAGTCTTGGTACGGACTATTAAACATACCCTGTAGAGCCTCTTAGCTCTTTGGCCCGTTTATTATAACATGAAAATCCGTGTTACAAGTCCAATCTGAGAGAACCCGTTCAATTTATAGCAGATAAAGTTTATTTTATTGCAATAGAATCGTTAGTGATAGCCATGTCTGTTTCATTTATTTTCAACAGAGAATTTATGTACTCATTAAAGTATGAATAATAAAGAGATATAAACCTTTAATTGTGCTGCAGCACTAGTAAAATAGTCTAAAGAAATTAAGTTTGCAAGAAAATAAAGCTTACCTTTCTGATTATTTCACCAATCATCCCATTCCACCCACTCGGAGTCTCGCTTCCGTATTTGTCATCTTTTACAAGACGAAGTTCATCTAGAAAGCAATCATTTGGCTATAAATAAAAATTTTATTTTGCATACGGTCTGAATATAACTGCGTATTGTCTGGGAATTTGTTTGTATTAAATTTATAATTGTAACAGTCAGAAACAAACACTAATATACCAAACTATTCAAAAACTATAAAAAAAAAACAGTGTACAACACGCAGCTCGGATTATAAAGATTTTTCCAGACATTAATGAAAGGTTTTACAAAAATAATAATACAAAATTTGTAGATTTTCTGTTAATATTTTTATAAGCAGTTCTAGAATACATAAAATGTCTTTAGTGAAAATGAATATATCAACCAAGAACTGCAAATTTACGGTTGCACGGAGAGGGGAGTATGGAATTGTGCACAATTAAAATTTAGTAGATGACCGAGTTTCGTTTATTTATTTGTGGCAAATAAACTTACCTAGATCGATTTATCGCCCCGCAATACCCGGAATACTAAATTTCATGAAAATATTTGGAGCCATTTCCAAGAATTTTTCGTTTATAGATATACCGATGGTCATCATTGATGATGATGATGTCATATCGGTCTTTGATAAGAAATTCTTAAAAATCTCCAAACTTTATCGAATTTCGATAATTAGACGACTAAATAAAAAACTTGGTCTCACCAGCAGCAGAAAATCGTCTGGCTTGGTTATTAGAAGGAATGATATGAACGGAAAGATGGCGATGGAGATGAAAGTGTATGATTGTAGTGCAAAAGGAATACCTCATAATATAAGACAGGGTAAGGAAATGAAAAATAAAAAAAATGCACAATGAGATGACGGCTAACGTAGAGGCAGAAAACCACACACTCCGCGTTCTCAATATAAATTATATCTAGGGCAGAAACATGTTAATTATGATATACTTACATTTGATTCCCATTTTCTTCGCAATGATGTCAGTCAGGTCTTTTAGAAATCCGTGTAAGTTTTCATCATTAGGCATATGTTCCGTTCTTAACATTAAGTAGGGTTCCTGCAGGATGCTCGTCACTATATAAGTTCTATTCGTGTCATATGACGCTGGTGAACGTAGCTGGACATATTTCGGTTGTACAATTGTCAAGCCTTGTGTGTCTGACCATGAAGCGACCTAAATTTCATATTATATATTATGATAATAAATTATAATTCATGAAACTGGTGGTTATATGATGAACATAAGAAATTAAAACATTTTAAATTGCTGTTAATGCTATATTGCTATCTCATAGACCAAAATGCAGAAACCTTAAAAGCGGCCATCAATCGCAGCCATTAGTGGCTTCAAGACGGCCACATCGGCTCAATACGATCGCGCTAACTGTGGGCGCTGGCACTTATGAGAGCCAGCAACTGTAGCTGTGTATGAGAACATGCCGAGTCAAAGAACTCCCGCAAAAGCTATTGACTATCTCAGCATGTGGCTCTAAGCAGTAACAAAAGCGCGAGTTCATACGAGATGTATGAAAAACCCTCGCACTAGACAAGTACGCACTTATTTGATTACATAAAGCTACGCGCGCACTGCACGTGAAGCATGACAAACTCGAGAAACGCTTTGTCTACACCCAAATGTCACTTTCTCGGGTCGAGAGTGAGATATAGTATGGGCGCACCCGAGAAAAGTGACATTTGAGTGTAGACAAAACGTTCTAGAGTTCGTCATACTACGCGTGCTGGTGTTTGTTTTTATCTCCTGTCATCATGCCTGAGAAATCATGTGATAGTGCGCGCAATTGAACCACTTGAACACGTGACAATTAAGTGAGTTCCATACAAATGACAGAACTGATAAGTCACAGTGACAAACAATCCGATGACTGGTATTTGACACAATGTGTTTGTGCGTTTATTATTTATTTTAATAAAAAAAAAGTGTTCATTATACAAGATGCTTGGTAATACGTGTATAATTCCGAATACGGCAGACATGATATCAGGAATAGTACCCAAAAAAATATATTACTAAGTCTGACACCAAGCACATAACTTAGATATTAAATTTTTTACTCCTGAAACCATGTAAAACTGTACGCTGATAACCCTATAACCTAACTCCATGTGCCGAGCTAGTTTAAAATATAACAGAAGTTAAATTAATCTAAAATTAAATACCTACATTAAATATGCACTCGAAAGTAATGTATTTATTCAAAAATAAAGACAAAGACTACTAATAAATGACTATAAAATGACTTTACCCCTAAAAGAACACCAATCTTGTGATTAACGGCGTTTCAAAAACTTTTATGAAGAAAACTTCTCTATACAGTCGAAATAAAAAGAAATAGCAAAATACTTTGATTTAAGTGACATTCTGCACTATTGCTCACATTAGTCTATGCAAGAAGGAGCGACAGAAACATCAAATGGACGACGACGTGTATTGAGAAGCTTAGGTGTTCAGTGTCGGTAAGGTTCTGTAAAATAATTACATTTAAGTTTTGTTAGTTATTTAATAAAGCACTGTTATTTTCACGAAACAAATCTTAAATTAAGTATTTTTTTTTTTACAACAGTATTTAGACTTGCATAATGATGGTAATAATCCAAATATCTCGCTATTTCTTAGTTTAAATAATAATGAAGTTAAGGTTAGTTATGATATTTCTAGCGATTTTTTGCTTATTTTATCAACGAATAGTTTTATGCTTTGTAATTTTATTAATGAAAGCCTTCAAAGTAGGTAAACACTATTAATTTATGGCCTATGTTTTCTTTTGTAAAAGTCTTAATATCAATTTCGTCAATAAAATTGTATAATAGGTTATAATGCAAATTTATTTTTTATTTAATTAAATAAAAAAAACAGCGGTCTTGTATTTGGTAGGTAACTAAGGATTTGATAATGCGGAACCCTAAATCGGTGCGCTTTTGATTAAATACATTGGTGTTTCGAATTAAAATAATTAACTATGTAGTTTTCATCGCTTCAGTCGCGTCTGAGACTTCCACGATCAACTTACGTTCTCACTTTCAGTTTGATTTCATACTTTTTGTGTTTACATATGTGTTGTGTTCTTTGTTATGTGATCTGTGCAATGGATTCGTACTTAATTTAAATACCAAATATTACGTCATGATAATGTGCGTTGGTGCTTGTGTGGTGATTTGGCTGCAGCTCGGCAGTTTTTTCTTGCAAGGTAAGTTGAAAAACATGTTTGTTGACATCAACATCTACAGCTCACTCTTGTTCCAACACGATGAAGCACCAGTTTCAATTCCGCATGTAGGGTACCCTATTGTTTCAGTATTCGGTTTGAAAGGCGGATAGGCCGCGGTAACCCTGTGCTATAGCCCGCGCAATTCTCAAAATCTCCAGATATGACACTACTCGATTTTTAATAGTAAAGAATGATGTTTTTATCGAATCCTGTGATTCGGCAACTGCAAACACGACACATAATAGTGGCAGTTTTCGTTACGTTGAAATCTGACTCGCTAATAGTTACAAAAGGTCGGTATCGAGCCGAATGGAGGTAGGATAAAATACCCAGTAGTCGTTCTTTTAATGAGAAACCTAATTTATTAATCTATATTTAAATAAATAAGGGCTTGAAACAAAAACGGCTATTTTATCAGAAATGGTGTTTATTATATTTTCTAAATATAATAATAACACGGCACTTTGCACCAAACTCGGCTTCATGTGCACCACAAGTCGACCGACACTTATCCTGTAGTCGGCCTCTTACTCACTTAGATTCTCTTTCATATTCGACATAAAATTTTTAAAATATATACATTTTCATAGAAATCAAACAAACCATCATATTCAATACATGTCAAAAAACTGCAACTATTATTTTTTAAATTATCTTATAATTCTAATATCTTCTTTTGCCTTTTTTTGTACCTTTTTCTACTGATTTCTGCTTTTCAAACTTCTTCTCGTAGTGTGACGTGTTGAGATTCTTTAATTCAAGATTTTAATGCAAAAATATACGTGCTACATGTAATCCTTATGAAAACCTAATAAGATTTAATTTTATGCAGCAAAAGTAATGACCGACTGTCGGAGTCAAAAGTCCATTAGGCGGCTATCACTTTTATACACGGCGGACTACTGGTAAATTTAATTTATTTTTTAATCTAGCTGTATAAACTTAAATTATTTTAGTCAGAAAATAATATTTTTTATAATTATAATTATTATAATTATTTTCTTTGTGCTTGGTTGTATAGCCAAGTTTCGAGATTATACATGTATTCGTGTCTAGTGCGGGGTGTATAGGTATATAATTAAAGCAAAGAGATCTGTTAAAAACATACTTGCAACATAGCACTCTGTACGGTCATTTCAACAACTTGCAATGTAAAATTATGACGATGACCTTCCTCGTTGAACGATATATTTCCTGTAAGTCCCTCGACGTCGGTCTGAAAGTAATATTACAGTAAGAAACTACATTGGTAGGTATATAATGCGAAGAGTTATATAATCAGTAGTTGATTTTTATGTAATAAAAAATATATAATGTTCAGAGTTCCCGATAGCAGAAGTAATCAAAGTAGTATATTGTATCGATTATAGCATTGACGTTCAATCGAATAAAACCTATTTGAAAAACTAATGAAGGTTTTATTTCGTTCTATCACGCTGCTTTCGATGACGAGTTCGAGATAACAAAATATCATAGAAGAATTAACGTAATTTTTCATACGGTTTAGTATCGTAGTAAATACAGTAACGAAGAAACTTAAAAAATATAAATTTAAATATTAAAATTAGTAATGCATTAAAAATTAATGACAATAATTAATTATAATATACAGTAGGTATATCTACCAAAGTGGTCATCCTGCCATCGTATTTGATTACTAGCTAACCCGGGAAACGTTGTCACGCCATACAAATGTTGGATCACCCATATCACGTAGGGGTAAAAAAAAGCTATTCTCAGACCTACTGAATATAAATACAAAATTTCATCAGAATCAGTGTAGCCGTTTCGAAGGAGTATAGTAACTAAAACCAACACGAACATTGTATAGGCATATTAGATTGTTATGGGGTTCGTTCTATAAAGTATGTTTAAATATCGTAATAGGTTTATAAATATATCGAACAAAGCAAAACTCTTTTACCGATGCATCGATCAATCAACAACACATCCATCTTCCGTTGAAATTAACAAGAAAATGGAAGTGCATGCAAAAAAATTAAATCAGCAGAATCAACGATCAAAATATGCGCAAAAATTTAATATAATGTTTGGGACGTAACGTTACTAAAGCGTGACATAGATTATTATACAACGCCATCTTTTAGCTCAGAGTAAAAACATTTTATTTAAGATATAAAATGAAACACATCAAACAAGTGATTATTAATTACCAACTTTCCGTAGAAAAGGAATAAGGTTTACCTGATATTTATTTTTGTAGCTTAATATTACGAGTATTTATGAATAGGCAACATGTAAATACATCATACGCTATTGTTTGTACTTTCTGATATGTCTTACTACAGCGATAAATATCTACCTGTAGACTGTAGGTATAGTAGGGAATAGTAGTAATGAGACGCGGAAGTAGTTTTGCCAGCTTCTAAAATAAAATAAAAAACTTGACCCTCCGTTGTATTAGGCCTTACACTTTGCCCAAAATCCAGATTTTACCATCTTTAATAGCCAAATCTTACTATTACAAAGCTGGGTGTCCGTTTTTAATTTAATTTAACAACAAACACGGCACCATTGATAGACTAGAAACTATCGTATAACCTGCCTTTGTCCTTGGAAACAGCCGTAGAAAATAAAAGGCTGTTTTATATAAGAACCCTGGTCTTGGTTAAGGTATAAAATTTCTCATTTATTCATTAACTGCACGAGAGGAAGGAGTCACTTCCTAAAAAGGTATCTACAGCGTTAAATTTTAAGTATTTTCATTGGGTAGGTATTGACCTACATCACAATAAGTAATGCTATAGTATCAAAAGAATATATTTACATTGAAATAAATATAATTTGATTTAATATGATTACAGAAAGAAAGGTTAATTCCAATTTTATCGATTCAATTTTGCTTTTGCATATTTTGTACTTTTTGTTGTGCATTTAAAATCCGATATCTACTTATTAATTAGTTAGATTTAAAGACAAAACAAAAAAAAGTGTTAAATTTAAATATATATCCAATAAAAGTTTTTAATCTGATATAAATTACGATATCTTTGTATTGTAACAACTTAAAAAAGGTTCGTTATCATAAAAAGTATTGATGGATATTCCGTTACCTTAAAAGTTATATGATATCTTCTTACCCACAGTCCAATCACGTTAAGTGCGGCTACAGATCGAGATGTTCGTTTCCTTACGCTTTCTCGTAAGTAGTTATTATAAAAAAAACGGTCAAGTGCGCATCAAACACAACGATATAATGATACAATAAATTTACCTTTTCATGAAAACGAAAACGCTACGACTAATTATATAAAATTAAAGATTTCCACATAAATATATATTCTTGTAAAATATTATTATTTCAATGTATAGAAATCATGACTGTATTTTCTTATATCGTTTATATAACCAAAAGCGTGATATTTTCTAAGATAACTAAGCTTATACCATATATTTCAAAGAGCGAGTTTTAGTATGGCTACGTATAGACTTTGTCCAGAATGAACAGGTTTGCCGCGAACTAAGTCTAAGTTACACTCATAACTGTGCTCATAAGCTACAAACTTTCAATTTATTTACTATAGAAACCGAAACACGTGAGATTCACGTTTCTTTTTAATACGGTCTCTTGGTGTGGTACCCTAAAACCGTTTGTTCCGGTACGTTTCGTACAAATGCATGTATTAGATACACATGTGGTCTATAGTGCTTGCATTCTAATCTAATATGTAATCACTGTTCCATTGCTTTGTGTTTACCGGAACGGTAGCGGAAGACCACAATATTAGAATTGTTGTCTTGCGGTGCGGATACAACATATTATACGATTATTATATAAACACATTGGCCGATATTAAACCGATATGCTAAATTAATTACAACTACACAGTACATAATAGTTCACGATACTTACAATGTATTTCGGCTAAATTTTTTGCATGGAATGTTTTGCAAATACTTACAAAAGTATTACGACAATTAATTTGACTATAACAATTTTGTCAATTTAAAGGGAACTAATCATATAATGAGTCGACAAATAAATTATCGAGCTACTATCATTAATGAAGTAACATTTTAGTCATATTAAGCAATTATAATCCATCATATTGTAACATTAAAATGCAACTACACGCACACAGCTTGAGTGTCTTATACAAAGCTCTTTTATTAAGTTTCATATCAACATCATCAAGCAAAAGTCTTAAAACTCGCAACGTACCTATAAAACCAAACGGAGCGATAGTTCTAGAATAAAAAAAATATCTTACCTTTTTGATAAGTCTCGAGATCTTATCTCCGTGTTCAAATGGCACTACCCAGCTCTTTCCTGGATTGCAATCAATGACTTTAGTGGAATTGGCTTGACCGGCGGCCCGCCGTAAAGCGCTACGAAATGCGTCGGGCTTTTTCCTCCATAGCCTACCTAAAGCATCCATTAGTACTTGCACCCCATCATACATTAAAGCTGTCTGGGCCTGTTGAAAATCCTTTTTTGTTAAACACGACATATATCTGACTAAAATTATTATTATTATTATAGTATAAGATAGAACATTATTATTTAAAATTAGTCCAACAAAACCGTGTAAATGGTTTGACTACCGGATTATGAGCGTCATCTAAAGAGAATCATAATATATCATTATTAATAGATAATTTCTTAATTTTGTACAACATTTTTCTCTAACAATCTTCTCTATAATTTCAGCGGGAAAACTGTTTAGTACATAGGGTAGGCGCTTTTTTATTGTTTTATCTCCGTAATAATTATTTACCCTAGGCACCTCATATTTACTTATATTAAATACGTGCATCCAATATATATATATATAACAATAGGTTTTTGTTAGAATACAGATTCCTGTTTTTTCCTGCTTTACCTTCAGTGAATTATTTTTGAAGAACTCTTTTCCCATCACAAACCATTATTGAAAAAGTATTAAACAGTTGCACGATTCTCTTGGCTTTTGTAGTAAACATATTTTATCAATGTCTCTTATAAAAGCTATAATTGCTATAATAAACTCATCAGAAATATGATTGCATGTCTGCTAAAATTTTTATTTAAATTGGAGTGCGCTAAAACTTATGTTTTATTTTACGCGAAATGGTGACTTTTATATTAAAACTACGCATTAGATATGAAAAGAAACATTTACCTAGTTTAAAATAAAAAGGCAATCTTGAAAATTCAGATTAGTAATTCTAAAAATTAATAATGTTTGCCCCCCCAATAAAAATATACTAGTATTAGTCTGATTATTACATATGTCTAAAGATAATTTTCGTTTTATTAAAAAAAAGAAACAGATAGCCGGTAAGCGACTTTGTTTTATTCGATGTATTTCTTTTACTTTCATAAAGCAGGTAAGTTTAAAATTTATGTTTTTAGGTATTTTTTAAGGTAATGTACAAATAAATGTGCAAGAACTGTGAAAATAGTCCGGACTTGAGTTAGTGTAGGAAATCATCGGGGACCTTCCAACTCAATCTGCGGTCTTCGCTCCGTCCCATGGTTTTATACATAAATAAATAAATCGTCTCAGAATGTACAAACTGATTTCAAAGTCGTACCATCCGCTTCACGTCTTAATTACTTTAAAACTAATACAAGTTTCAGTCTCTGGGATATGTTAGATATATCATCGATGTTTATATCATGTGTTAAATTAGTCTTTATTAACTATGATGTTGATGGTGGAAAATAATATTTCATTACTATTACCTAATTTTCCTAATGCTGGGTCACAGTTGGCTTTCATTAAATCAAATGCCATAAATGGAAGCCATGGACCAGCCGTGTAACTTTATTGAAATGTAATAAAATCTCCATTTAATTAAGAATATTGAAAGTACTTTTTAGTCGGCAATTGTATTTTCCTTCTACCTGATTGTACGGTTTTCTGTTAACAAGAATGATGAGCAAAACAAATTCACTAATACTTAACAATACTAGAATACTATAGAATATACTACATAATAATATAGAATACTAATAAAAAAAACAATTAACAATGTCTGCAAGATTTGGCATTACAACATGTATTTCTTAGCTGATAATCAAATTCGGAAAGGAACTCGATGGCACAGTATTTAATCCTTTTGGTCTGCTATGCGGAAATTAAGCAACTGTCGCAGAGGCCTTTCATAACTAAACATTTATTATCACCAGCTCTTCAATGCTATGGAAGGCACACCAATCCGTTGGTTTTGGCTGCATCTACACTCGTTAACACCATTAAATCTACATTGAGCCTGCGAAGCTGGTCATGTCCATTTATAAGGAAAAGCTGTTATCCGTTCATGTGGTGATAAATCAAAAGAAAAAACGGTCCTTAAGCGTAATCATCAACTTTATCACACTTCTCTCATTGGTACGTTTTTGCCATGATTATATTTTTATTTACAGATAAATACATAATGTGAAAAATAGCAGTGTTTCTGCTCAGAAACAATCTTCGCGTTTATTGAAGTCTGAGCTTGAAAAGGCAATTTTATTCGATGAAAGACATCGTGAACATTACTTTTATTTGTGAATGTATCATATAATCATTTCTTTCAATATTTCTCTAAGAGATTATTCTCTAAGAGTCTAGATCGTAAAATATATATGGCGATATCTGCTGTCTTTTGTAACATAAAACTGCACAACAGTAGAGGTAGGATATACATTATTTCACTGTTAAAATAACTACCACACACCCTTGCCATATCAACATTTGTCAAGAGTCTGATTAACTTAATAGCAATAGCTGCAATGCTCATTATGAGTACATTGGAGTCAAAAATCTAGTGTAATATTTGAGTTGGGGGATTCAACAGCGTTTAAAGAACTCTGTTCCCTTAACAACTATTTTATTATTTACATTTATAAACAACTAACTTAACCCACATTAGGTAGTATAAACTTAAAAAGAATGAATAAAACATTTTTAACTCATCATAACAATAATATCTGCTCGTCATTTATCGTGCAGTGTAACTAGTCTCAGGTCATCTACGTAATAATACGGCATATAATCTTACATATCATCTTCAACTTTTAGAGCATTCAATTCGAAATTAGTCACAAGTGCTTCAAGGTTACTTAGTTAAATGACAGGTAGACTTGGACAGGAATAATTTAAGAGATTTTACGCCATTAACATGAGCACTGTAGTAAAAACTAAAACAGACTTTTGGAACTCGTTACATCTGATAAATAATTTTAGCGAATTTTTATCCACTCTTATATTTACAGAATGGTATGAAAGTATACATACTAGACCGTTTTTCACATTGTCTACAATAAATCCTCGAAATAATAGATATACGCCATTCATCAGGCTGTCGGCGTTCACGTTAGCAAATTGTCATGAGTTAACTTTACTCCGAAACAATTCCCTTGAGTATGCACAACAGGAGTGAAAAAGCCTAAGTGTATTTACTGAGAGAAGGGAGATCATATGGAATAATAATTTATGCAGGGGAACGGCGCGCTCAGACTTTCATTAGGGCGTACGCGAGTTAGGGAAATTTACATAAAAGCCTTATTACTTTATACTGAAACTTCCTTCGTCTGACACAAATTTCAATGAGTTATACGGGATTATAATATTTTTTTTGTGACCAGAAGGAAGAACATTTCACTTCAATATATGAATAATACAAAGTTTGTAGCTATTTGTGGAATCTTCGATGTTAGAATGATTGAATATTATTTTTAGTTTACGAAAATAATGAAGTGATATTTTAACCAGAATAAGGGACGACCGTCAAAATTTATGAATCGAAAACCAAGTAGGCATACAGAATTTATATGTTTTATCGCAAAACTCGTTGATATTACTTGACATATTTTAAAAGGCTAAAAAAACGGAAAGTTTCGAAGTTTGTTTGTTAAATAATAGGAAATCGAAAACCATTACGATGACCGCATTATAAATTCGTTCTATATCTCCTCGGTTACTGCAAATCGAAATAGAATACCTATCATTGATTTTTTTACATAACGTAAGATACTTTTAGTCGTCTCACTTTTTGGTCCAATTATTTCACTTAGAAATGTAAAATGTAATTTTCTTTATTATGTAATTATTATTATTATTTTCTATATTATTATTTTTTTGGTTTGGCTTTTAAACAAAAAGTCATACTTTGTAATACTTTGAAATTTATTTATTAAATTAGAATATTTTATTTCCCGCGTCTACACCTACGTAAATCATAACCTATCATATCCGCGTATAATAAAACTCTCCGAAGGTGAAAGAACTGACATGATCAGACTAGTATTATTTCCGAAGATTACCCCCTGCAAGCAAACAAAAGAACAAAGTTACCTCTTTATCATATTAGTATTGATTACTTTGTTATGGTAACATCGTGTCATTAATAATTTATATCTGATGTCGGTATATTAATTGGACCAATTATATCAATGCACTAACCGCCTTCAGTATAATTGTGTATAACATTATGGCAATTAATATTCTAACCGCGTCAAGGAGACGCGATATCTTCCCTTGTTTATGATAAAATGCTTAATATATCAAAAATAATCGTGTAACATTATGTGTATTGTTATCAGTACCGAGTCTAATAATTGCATCAATAATAACTGTTATTCTCTCACGGATTACACTACATTAAAAAGGTTTATTAATCAAGTTTCGATTAATAAACTAAGGGTCAGTATTATGGAGCACCAGACATTTCACGAATAAACGGAATATTTCAGACATTCAAATATGTAAATTAGTATCTGTTTTGCCGCGACTTTGACTAAGTAAATTATAGCCGATGTCACCCGCGTATAATGTAGCTTCCCGTAAGTGAAACAATCTTCACGATTGGATCAGTATTAACGAAGATTGCCTCCTACAAACAAACAAAACTTGAAACTTTACTATTTAATTATATGTGTAGATCATCAATCGTTATATTTCAAACAGAGAAAAATCGTGCAATATAAATAAAATGCATTTACGAGCCACAGGTGTAAAATAATTGTATGATTTGTACCTTTTATTAGCCGATAAACAGACATAAAATGCTATACAAACTCACAATTATACGTTAAATTCAATCCCTTAGCAATATTTCTATATAAAAGTTGAGCTTGTAATTTTTTTATTTTTATTATTGCGAGTCTTATATTTCGCCAGTTAATTAAAAATTCACGGTTTGTATTGAAATTGAAGTGTACATAATTGTATTAAAATTGGAATATACGTACGAATCGAATCGTACTAGAAGTCTAAGCAATTTGGCTACCACAGTTCTTTTCTTCTTTTTAGGTGATTTTACAATTAAATTGTAATCTACAATCATAAAATTATGAATTAATAAATTAAAATTGGTCTTCAGTCTTAATCAATTTATTTTAGGCGGCTATTTCTCGATTCATAATAAGACGGTTAAAGTTTATTTAAACAACTACTTGAACAACAAAACATTTTACTACAATAATATATTTCAATGTCGGAATTTATTTAATGTAATATAACACAAAGCACTCACCGATATAGTTCCTTTGAACCTGGGATCCATTCTTCTCAACCCGTCCATGAAATCGCGTACAATCTTACGCGAATGATCGACGATGCGAAATCCCGTGATATTTACTGCACCGTACTCCGTTACTTCATTTTCCCAATGATCATCCATTACCTGCAGATATTTAATATTTATTCATTCACCTATCATACATGTAGCGGTAGTATCAGAAAAGTTTGAGAAGTAATCTAGTTTAGCGTGATCTTGTAAAAAATGGTACTAATACATCACTCTCATCAGTAATCCTAAAAAATATATACATTTTTTTTTTATTTAAACATCCTCAAAACTTAAGATATGTTACTCCTTACCAATCCACTCAACATATAGTGATATGTCCTCCGCCCTAATTGCACCTTTCGCACGTGTCCTAGTATTATGCTTTTTGCATTTTTAGTATTGCAATCGAGAACTATACGTTTATTCCCCCAACGATCATGCTGTTCCAGAGCCAACAGGAATTCCATAGCGTCCGAAGCGTTATTAATTCGCTTCACAAGAGATATTCGGAACGCAGTCTGACCCGGCTGCATGGATTGATAGAGCTGCTGTAGTCGCAGCAAACCTAAAGCATTTAGCAAATTAATGAACATCCTACTTCAATGTACTTGACGATGTCAATAGAATAGTTTCATCGCAATTCAATATCCTATATCGAACAAATAAAAACTAACATTAATGTCAATAGAAAAACCGCAGAGAGAAAGCCGCGTCGAGAACGGTGTATACTACTGACATCGCTAGTAGCATTTATATGTCGGCTATTTTCGTTCCTAAGCCAATCCGAGTCCACACAAATTTTATCGAATTAAACGCCCCATATAAAACAAGCGAAACGAAAAAGGGACAGCGCGTGCTCCATAAAAGTAACAACAGAAAAACGCTTTTTTTCTTTGGTAGTGAGACATTTAGGAGTATTATTTTCATCGCGTTATATTATTGAAATTTGGGTTGTTTTCAATGTAAAACTCGCATTTTACATTAAATTGTTAATTGTTTATCGTTTTAATGATAACGTACAAAAACAAATGTATTATCAAGATACGATTTCAATGGGTGGATTTATTGATCTTTTACAATACAAACTAATACATTTCAACACCATTTCACACACTATTACTGAAACAAAACGTCTATTAGTCAATTTTGAAATAGAAAAGTATTTATCTATAATTGCTGTTGTTATATTTACGTCAAATATAACTTATTTATTATTACTTAATAATATGAAATTATTATTTTTTTATCATCTTATTACTCATAAGTTTGAATCTTTTTCAATATACATAGGTAAATACCAAATATAGGGAAAAAGAAGATTATGCAAGAGATATTTGTGATACGTAAAAACTTCAACGATATTTAAAGCGACCAAAAATAGGCACGGTTTATTAATGGATCCAGCTGTGGAAATTTTGATCCGGAAAATGTTCCCTTCAATTCGACAGGTTAAATACTAGTCTAGAAACTGACGACCACCAATTATACGGGCAACGTAGCAACAGCTTCCAACGTTAATAACAAAATAATATTAGTATTTTTCTGTTATTTTAGAACGATAAAACATTGATGAATTTGGTCTTATAAGCTAGATGTGGTCCACCATAATTGTGTTGTCGTGAACGTATTGCGTCGATATATAAAAATATTCGATACTCAAAATGCATAAAAATGGATAGAATTCAAACGTAACTGCATTCATAGTAAAGATCTCTCTTGAATTGGCAATTCAGCGATTGTAACAGTTTACTTAATAAACTGTCCTTGTTTTGAATTCTTTTTTTAATACAAATAGATTTAAAGAAAAATATAATTAAAAATAGTTGAAGGTACAATGTTAACAATTGTACTATGGAGGTAGGCAGACATAGGAGCGCAGCGCGGCTCATAGTGGTGGCATAGTATTTAAAATGACTTCTCGCGAGTCCAATTTTCATTGTGATTTGATTATTTCAAATTGTGTGTAAGTGCTAAATAACCCCGAAATCGGGGTTTCTACTGCTAGTTTCTACTGTTGTTTCTACTGCTGCTTCTACTGCTAGTTTCTACTGCTAGTTCTACTTCTTCATCAACTCCAGTCCTCCGGAGCTTCGTGGACCTTCGGTGCTGCTGACCGGAGCTGACGTCGGGTCTACACCCTTCTCAGCCTCTGCCCGGCCCGTGACGCCGAACCCGCGAAGTCCTCACTAATTGCAAAACTTAAAAGCTAAGTCCTCCCCTCGTAATTATAGAAACAAGAACCATAACGAGCGAATATCTTAACCTACCCCCTGAGAACTAAAATAAAGATTGTTAAACTTTATTATTACTTTTATTCTTTATACCTGAAGCCTGGGGGTGCTTCACACCCCCCATCTACAACCCAAACGCTTCAGTGGCGCCCGGCTCGCTCAGGATTTCGCTCGCTCTGTGGTTCTTGTTTATTTCTAATTTTTTTTCTTTTATTTTATTAAAAAGTGGGTAACAAGTTTTTCCTTTTTGGGTGTGATCTCGACTGATCTCACACTCATTTTAGAGTCAAGTTCCTGCCTCATTTGGTAGCTGTAAAACCAATTAATCATTCTATAATAAATTTTTTTTTGCAAATTTAAAAAGAAATAACATTATTACGGTCATTTCCGCTTGGTTTAACCGCTTGTGTTTAGCATCCGGTTTTCAAATAATTGGTTACATTTTATAATCTAAATTGATATTAACTATTTCAAAAAAAACTAAAATTTTGAAACTATAGATACTACCCACTTCTTAGTAATTTTTTTTGTACCGTCAATTTGAATTTCAAACGTTTTACGCGACTGTGAATTTGTGTTAGCTTCGACGGAACACTCACCCTTAATCACTTTTCAATTTTTCTACCGCGTTAGAAGTCATTGCTTTCATTATGGCCAGTGAATACCCTATTAATTTTTTTTCTTTAAACAAGTCTGAACTTGAATATGAAGTTGGTCTACGTGGATTGGTTCCCGGTACATCCGTGGCCGAGTTGAGGAAACAAATAGTTATTTTTGATAAGGAAATTTCTCCAGAGGACATTCTTGTTTCCCATCTGGAACCAGACGAAGACATTGAAGGTGTTCAAGAAAGTTTAGCTAAATCATTTAATAATTTATCTACCCTAAAAATTAAATTCGACAAAAATTTATTTCTCAGAACTGAGTTTTTGCTTAATCAAATATATCACCGATTGAATAGAATTGATCCTAGTGATGCCTTGATTAAAGTTTTTGATAGTTGTAAACTTAACTTTGATTCTCAATACAAAGATTTACTTGTTTTGAAGCCTTATGTTGAACCAAAATCAAAACTACCGACACAATTAGTATCCGATCTAGAAAAATCTATAATTAACGTTACTGTCGAAAGACAAAATACGGCAGATATAAATAAAATTAAATTCAATGGTAAGACTTGCGTTCGATCTTTTATTCAAAGAATTAATGAATTTGTTGAATCGAGAGGAATATCTCATGAGAAAATTCTCTCATTTGGTTACGAGATATTTACGGATGAAGCACTTCATTGGTTTCGCTGCGTAAAACCGAGGGTATCTACTTGGACGGAACTTTTACCTTTGCTCAAGGCCGATTTTAGTCCCCATGATTTCGACTACCGTTTCATATCTGAAATTCGTTCACGAACACAGGGAAAGAGCGAATCCATTTCCATTTACCTTTCAATAATGGAAGGTATGTTTTCGCGTCTGGACAGGTCCTTGTCGGAGGAGGATAAATTAGAAATTTTGTCGCACAATGTGAGACCGTGTTATGCCAACACTCTAGCCGCAGCTTCACCCATTTCCTCAATTAACTCTCTTAAGGCCGCTTGCCAAAATTTTGAGAAAATTCAAGGTCAATTATCAAACTTTGCTGAACCGTCTCCTTCAAATGCACAGACACTTGCTCCTGAGTTCGCATATCGTGAGGAACACCACCACCCACTAAAAAGTTTAGTTAAAAATTCTTTTATTTCTAACAGGGCGATTATTTCTGCGATTGCTGCAGGAAAAAAGTTTTGTCCTAGGTGTCGCAATAACACGCACGATCTAAGAAGTTGTACACAGCCTCGGAAAATTATTTGTTTTAGGTGTGGTAAACCAGGTGTTCGTGTTCCAGAATGTCCAAATTGTAAAAATATTGCCAAATCAAAAAACTAATTAACCAGAACTGGAGACGCACTAATTTTACTGACCATAGAAGACAGTCTCATAGGTTCGATAGGTCGTCCTTTAAAAAAAAAGTCTTTTCTAACCGCTCTTCGTCTCCAGTTCGCGATAAGTGTAAAGTAATCAGTTTGAACCAAGAAAATGAAAATAAATTCTTTTCTCGTCCATTTATTTCTGTAGTTGCGGATAATAAAAATATTATTGGTCTTTTGGATACTGGTTCCAGTATAACAATTCTTGGAAATAACTTTCATAAACAGTTCTCTGTTAATAACTATCCTCTTTGTACTTGTGAACCGTTACAGCTTTCTGCAGCTGGCGGTCAAATGTTTTTAACATCCATGTATATCAACTTGCCGATAACTTTTAACAATAGTACTCGAACCTTAAATTTTTTTATTGTACCGTCTATCAAAGACAACTTAATACTTGGGATGGATTTTTGGAGAAAGTTTGGTTTGTTTCCTACTGAATTGGATGGTTTCGTGCTCGATACGCCACATGAAATTGGTCTTTCGAATTTTTCTGTAGACGAACCTCGTCATCTTTTTTCGTATTCACATCTTAATGAAGAACAGAAAAGAACAGCTGATGAGATGATTTCACAATTTCGCAATATTTCGTACGAAGAACGTGGTTTGGGTCGTACTTCAATAATAATGCATGCTATCGACACAGGTGATGCCGTTCCTATTAGGCAAAGGTACTACCGAATGTCTCCACAAAAACAGCAAATTCTTTGGCAACAATTAGATGAAATGTTAGAGGAAGACGTTGTGGAACCATGTGAAAGTCCTTGGTCTAACCCGGTTCTCCTAACCCCAAAGAAAAACGGAGAGTATAGACTTTGTTTAGACAGTAGGAAGTTGAATTCCGTCACACGTAAAGATGCCTATAGTCTACCATATATTTCAGAAATTCTCGATAATCTTAGAGATGCTAAATATTTGTCTAGTATTGATCTTTCTAAATCCTTTTGGCAGGTCCTAATTAGGCCTGAAGACAGATGTAAGACTGCGTTTTACATTCCCTCTAGAGGAACATTTCAATTTAAGTCCATGCCTTTCGGACTAACTAACGCACCGGCTACGCAGCAAAGATTGGTCGATTTACTATTTTATGGGCCAGAATTCGAAAATAAAGTTTGGGTTTTTATTGATGACATTATTATAATTGCAGACTCTTATGAGAAGCACATATCTTTACTTAAACAAGTGCTAGAAAAGCTAAAATATGCTAATCTTACTATTAACTTTGAAAAATGTCAATTCTTTAGGGAAAAGTTAAAATATTTAGGTTATATCGTGGACTCTAAAGGTCTTCAAGCTGATCCAGAAAAAATAGAGGTCATTGTTAACTACCCTCCTCCAACTAACAGAAAAGAAGTTCGCCGATTTTTGGGCACTGCGTCGTGGTATCGTCGTTTTATAC